TCTCTTGAGCATTGGCGACACTATCTCGTGAGTAAGGAATTCATCCTTCACTCCGACCATGAGGCGTTGAAGTACATTCAAGGGCAGCACAAGCTTCGACCCCGTCATGCCAAATGGGTTGAATACATTCAAACCTTTACCTTCACCATCAGGCACAGGAACGGGTCCATGAACAAAGGCGCGGATGCGTTGTCCCGGAGACACTTATTACTAACGGTACTTAGTACCAAACTTCTTGGTTTTGAATTTTTGCAGGAACTCTACAAGGATGATGAAGATTTCAAGGAAATGTATGCCCAATGCTTATCTCGGCCCCATGGAGATTACCTAATCAAAGATGGTTACCTCTTTCGTGGTAATCAACTGTGCATCCCGAGGAGCAACGTTTGTGAAACCCTGATAGACGAGGTCCATGGTGGTGGACTAGCCGGTCACTTCGGGATCAACAAGACTTATTTGATGATGAAAGAGCATTACTTCTGGCCCAAAATGGAGAGAGACGTCGAGCACTTCATCAAGAGATGTCACACTTGTCAACTTGCAAAGTCCCAAGCCCTACCCCAAGGAATGCACTTACCCTTACCCATCCCGTACGCCCCGTGGGAAGATGTTAGCCTGGATTTCATTACTGGGCTGCCCCGAACTCAACGAAGCAAGGATTCCATAATGGTGGTTGTGGATAGATTCTCAAAGATGGCCCATTTCATTCCCTGCGTTACTACATACGATGCTTCCCAAGTAGCCGATCTCTACTTCCAAGAGGTCGTTAAACTCCATGGCATACCCCGCAGCATGGTCTCTGATAGGGATCCCAAATTCCTTAGCCATTTTTGGATGACATTGTGGAGAAAGCTAGGCACAAAGCTCAAATTCAGCACCACTAGCCATCCGCAAACTGACGGACAAACCGAGGTCACCAACAGAACGCTTGGAACTCTCTTTCGAGTTCTAATCAAATGAAACATCAAGCAATGGGAAGAGCTACTGCCGCACGCCGAGTTTGCCTATAACCGAACCCCAAACAAGACCACATGGCTATCCCCGTTCATGGTGGTCTATGGTTTGAACCCCCTCACCCCACTTGAGCTTGATCCCACCGTAGGAAAAGAGCAATACAGTTAGCTGATCAACGGTCCAAGGAAATTCAAGAACTCAATGAAAAGGTTCGAGAGAAGATTGAAGCGG